GTTATAAAAGAAGCCTAGTAAATTGACTCAACCCCATATTTACTATTGGGAGACTGAGACCTGAGGATCCAGTTTCAAAACCAGTCCAAGCAGGCAGGAAGTTTGTGAAGCTCTTTATCTCTAATTAAATACAAAGGGTTTTCACTGGAGCATTTTTTATGCTTCTCCATAATGTGGCAATGTCAGGTCCCTCAGTGCTGGATTGCTTTTTGCAAACTGGCATCAGACTGCCATCCTCCTAATTTCCACCTCCTGAGAAGCCCTTGTCAGCAACCTTTCACTGAAATCCTCCCCTTTAGAAGAAAACCAGCTGCTCACCTTGAGCAGCTTCTGTGGGTTTCATATCCAGTGCCATTTGAGTTCTGAGCCTTAAGGTGTGGTTCCCTCTGCTTTGTTTTCTGGCTCTGTCTCCTTCCTGCACAATTCAGGCTGAGGATGACCACAAGTTGGAGGTATACCTGCTCATCCCTCAAGCTGGTCTGCGAAGTGATACTCAAAAGACAAAGTGACTTGTTCTATCCTTGAATATACAATGTGCTGGGCTTCCTCCCCTCTCATTCTTCCCCTCCCCAGTTCCAGTGCCACTGTGGGCAGGAAGCATCCCCACATCCCCACCTCCATGGTACCACTGCAGAAGATTCAGGAGAGCAAAGAGAATAGGTACTGTGCCACGGGGCATGAGGAGGGACTGCCTTCCCGCTGAGCCTGAGCTCAGGGAATACAACACTAAGGACGGGAAGTTTTTCTGTTTCCTTATGTTTATTTTATTGTTATTGTAGAGTTGGTATACAGAGGAGTTACAATCTAGTGAATCAGGTAATGAGCACAATTCATTTTGAACCATGTCTCCCCTTCCCTTTCTCTCTCCCAGTTTTTCCATCCCATCCCCACAGTTCATTTTCCACATAGTGTCTAGTGAGTGCCACTGCTGTATTTGTTTCCCCTTTGTTCCACCTCTTCTGTGCCCTTCTTACCCTTCCAAATACAAACAAGACAAAAGGAAAAGAAACAAAAACAGCAACAACAGCAACTAAAACATATCTCATGATTCCCTTTCTTAGAGTTCATTTCACAAAATATTATTTTATATGGTCATATGCAAATAGCTATTGAGCCTTTGTCAACCATTCTTATGCATATCTTCCTTTAGCTCCCAGTGTGTGAATGTCTAGAGTCCTATATAATTTATCATGTCCCAGTGTGTGTGTATATATACATATACATATATATATATATATATATATATATATGATAGATGGGATTTTATCAAACTGAAGAACTTCTGCATGGCTAAGAACATAGCTAGCAAGTTAAATAGTAAGTCCACTGAATGGGAGAAGATCTCAACTAGTTATACATCAGACAAAGGCCCCATATCTACAATATACTGAGAGCTCAAAAAATTAAACCCCTCAAAAATAAACCCTCAAAAACTCAACAACCCAATCAATAAGTTAGCTAAAGACTTAAAGAGAGACTTCTCAGAGGAAGAAGTAAAAATGGCCAATAGACACATGAAGAAATGTTCAGCATCTCTGGCCATAAAGAAACACACATCAAAACAACATTGAGATTCCATTTCACCCCAGTTAGAATGGCCATTATCAAGAAAACTATAACAAATGCTGATGGGGATGCAGCAATAAGGGAACTCTATTACACTATTGGTGGGAATGTAAACTTGTTCAGCTACTCTGGAAAGCAGGATGGGAGTTCTTCCAAAGACTAAACATAGAGTTTCCTCAATCCCACTCCTTGGCATTTATCCCACAGAACACTAACAAAGCCACACTAAAGCTACCAGCTCAACTATGTTCATTGCCAAGATATGGAATCAATCCAGCTACCCCTCAATGGACGAATAAATCAAGAATGTGGTAGTATATATACACAATGGAATTCTACTCATCCATCAGAAAGAACAATATTGTACCATACATAAGGAAATGGAAAGACAGAAAAAATTATATTAAGTGAGGCAAGCCAGAGCCAGAGAAACATAGGTTGCATGGTTTCCTTCATTTGTGGTAACTAGAATGTACTTATAATTCTACAAATACACACCCTGAACTTTTTTGCTCAAGGCTAGCACTCTACTGCTTAAGCCACAGTACCACTTCCAGCCTTTTCTGTGATTGATTGGAGATAAGAGTCTCATGGAATTTCTTGCCTGGGCTGGTTTCCATCCATGACCCTCAGATCTGTCTCCTGAGTAGCTAAGATTACAGGCATGAGCTACCAGCACCAGCAGGAATTTACTTATTTATTTATTTACAGTATTGGGGTTTGAAGTCAAGGCCTTGCACTTGGTAAGGAGACACTTCACCAACACCTTGGTTATTTTCAAGATAAATAAGGGCTTCCTTTAAGCCAATTCAGCCTAGACTATGATGCTCCTAATTGTGCTTTCCTTTGTCATTCGAATGACGGGCACACACCACATAGCCAGTCCTTGTGCTTACTCCATAACTTGGGATGACAGGCATTCACCATCCTGTCTAGCCATTAATTGGGATGAAGTTTTGCAAAGTTTAATGGCTTCAAACTCAATCCCACATCTCAACCTACCACGTAGCTAGTAGTTACAGGCTTGGGCCACCATCAACGCCTCTAATTGAAGATTGCTAAAAACATAGCCAACAATTTCACGGAAGAAGGCACAAGCCAGCAGGGAAGGGAGAGAAAAGAAACTGCATACAAAATCAGGCTTTCAGTTCCTACGCCTTCACGTTTTTCTCTTTTTCTTCTATATGCAACTAATACAAAATATATGCATGGTTTTGTACATATAGACACATATTTCAAGAAGATACATTTGCTAATAATATGAAAGTAATATGATTTATTCTTGTGAAACACAATATAACTAAATTGGGAAACGGCATTTTTATTTCCAGGCATTCTTTAGTCCCAAGCAGCTGCCCAGTTCACTATATCTTCACAGAGACAGTTGTTTAGTATAAAGCAACCATATATGGGAAATGACCCTTCAAAGGCACACCCCCAGGGATCTGCTTTCTCCAATAGGCCCTACCTCCTAGTAATCCATTCAGACCGCAGCCCCTCAATAGTGCCACCTGCTACGGAACCTCTGAAAAGGTTGTATGTACGTATGTATGTGTGTATATATGTATGTGTGTATACATGTATGTATTTACTTGCTTGCTTACTTACTTTTGGTAGTACTGGAGTTTGAACTCTGGGCCTGTGCTTGCTAGGTAATATTGTTCTACCACTTCAGTCTACCACTCCAGTCTAAGAAGATTTTGTATCTAGATCATAACATCAGTCTTTCTCAATACTATACAAATCTGTTGAGCTCAGCTTCAAATTGCTTGCTTTCTGGCCCCAATAGTTATTCTCACTCATTACTACTCCCTGACATACACCCTCTTCACAAGGCTACTTTTACTCTTCTGACAAGGATGGGGACCCTCTACTAAAGAACAGTAGTATGTTATATCTAGATCAGTCACAGTTAAGCTTACCTCTGTACGCTTACCATCTCTTATCTTCATAAGCTTCAGTCTACATCAGTGTTGACATCTGCCAGCTTTTACCCCAGAATTCACTGTATAATCTTGGGAAAAAATCACTTCTGCTCTGCTGAGCCTGATTCCTAGCTACAAAATAGATTAAGTAGTCTAAAAGTTCCTGTTAACTTCAAATTTTAAAAATGCTTATTATGTCCCTAATTAAAGGTCTAATCATAATCATAATATTTAATTATAATAATATACATAAGCCGGGTGCTGGTGGCTCACACCTGTAATCCTAGCTACTCAAGAGGCTGAGATCTGAGGTTCAAAGTCAGCCCAGGCAGGAAAGTCCATGAGACTCTTATCTCCAATAAACCACCAGAAAACTGGAAGTGGCGCTTTGGCTCAAGTGGTAGAACGCTAGCCTTGAGCTGAAGAGCTGAGAGACAACACCCAAGCCCAGAGTTCAAGCCCCATGACCAAACAAAACAAAACAAAAAGTAATAATATACATAAAATAAGTATATAGACCAGGCCCTGGGTGCCTCATGCCTGCAATCCTAGCTACTCAGGAGGCTGAGATCTGAGGATTACAGTTGAAAGCCAGCCTAAGCAGGAAAGTCTGTGAGACTCTTATTTCCAAATAACCACTGGAAAACTGGAAATGGAGCTGAGCTCAGGGACAGTGCTCAGGCCCTGAGTTCAAGTCCTGTGACTGACAAAAAATAAAAATAATTATTATTATTTTATAATTCATTAGTTACTTATGGAATTACATATGTAGTAGTTATATACAGAATTATATAACTCTTAGCATATGTTTTCTAAGATGATATATATATGATATTATTATATCCTATATTAATGTAATAATAATACAATTTAATTATATAATTGTATATTGTATCATAACCATGAAGGAATTTATAGGCTAATATAATTATTAATTAATGATTTGATAACTCAACTATTTTATATATGATTATAATTGTATAATAATTGCTACCGCTTATTAAACTTGTATTATGTGTCAAGATAGTCTAAGTCTTTCCTGTACTCTATCATCTTTTGCCCAATAATGCTAATTCACTCTGCAGATCTGTCTCAGCTTGTTGTGAGTTCCTTTCAGGAAACCTTCTCCAACTCACCCTGGCCTGGGTTAGAGGCCACACTCTAAGGGCTCCCTATATTTCTTCCTGCTGCGACACATAGCTCTTTTGGAAATTCCTATGCAATTGTTGATCATTCTTAAAAGAATATTAACTCCACAAAAGGTATGAAATTACTTGTTGCTCTAGCTATTACCAGCAGCACCAGGAATAGTGCTGGGCACATAGGAGACACTCAGTAAATATTCATTGAATGAATAATTAACTCATGCTGAGTACTTCATGCTATATAACTGGAAACTACTAGTAAGTAATTCAAAAGCCAATGCTTCCTAAATCAGTTACCTCATACTTCCTTTCTTAAACGTGACTATATAAAGAAGCAAGAAAACTCAAGTGAAACAGACTATTAGGGGAGTGCTGTCCTACAGAAGATTAGACCTGGAAGAAGATGGCTTTGTTTTACTTGTGGATCTTGCTCCTTTGCCTGCAAACTTGTGAGTTCTGACTCTTGCTGAATTTCTACCCTACTTTTACATAAAATTTAGAAATTGCTTTTTAGGAAGACATTGATGTGTCCCTTTGATCTGTTTTCAACAGAACACCCGGGGTCTCAGTATATGTTGTATTCAAAAGAGATCCAACTGGTAGAAGAGAGACTTAAGGTGTCACCTGTGTGTTTCTATGCTTTGGAGTTAATATTTCTAAATTCTATCTAGCTCCAAAGGATCTGAACAAAAACCTCTCTCTCTCTCAAAAATGTCAGCACTTGGTAGACTTACTCACAGAGCCCAGCAAAAAAGTAAATTATCCAAAACCTTGGATGAATTAAAAGCAGTTTCCTTTGGGCATTAGAATGTATTATGCAGTTTTTAAGAGATATATGACCTTCCTCATTATTTCATTGCTCTCTGAGGTTAGAATGATGCAGCAATCTTTGTTATCATGATAAAAATTTCCTCTCTGTAAGCTCTTTTTATTTTAAAAGATATGACTTTTTTCTCCCCAAAACTCTAAAATAAATATGGGAAAAATTTGATTATCCATTTTTAACAAATGTCAAAATAGAGGTAGAGAACTTGAATTAAAAACTCCTGTTTGCTGGGTGCCAGTGGCTTATACCTGTAACCCTAACTACTCAGGAGGCTGAGCTCTGAGGATCGTGGTTCAAAGCCAGCCTGGGCATAATGTCCATGAGACTCTTATCTTCAATTAACCACCAGAAAACCGAAAGTGGTGCTGTGGCTCAAGTGGTAGAGTGCCAGCCTTGAGCTGAAGAGTTAGAAACAGTGCCCAGGCCCAGAGTTCAAGCTCCACGACTGACAAAAACAAAAACAAACAAACAAAAAAACCCTGTTTATTTTTTACTATGGCTTGATAGAAAACTATAAAGGATAAATGAATATTTGTTGTTATTTGTACCAAAAAACTGGGAACTTTGAGTGATTTGTCATTGAACATAGTTTTGCTTTAATTCCAAAGAGCTGTCATCTCCTTATAGAAACTGTCTATGCTTATAATTTCGGAAAGTCAACATCAGTGCCCTATGATCTCTCTGGTTCCCTTGAAATTTGAAAGCTGAGGATCTTTTAAGTTGAACTTTGTGGAGCTTATAGCCACTAGCCCGGTCAATCTGTTGTAGCCTCTGCTGGTCATCCTAAGACAAAGACCAAAACTATAAATAAATGAGATTAGGGGCTGTACTTAATCTTCCACATAAAATATTACTTAATTTTAAAAGCATTATACAATTTTTCTGCCTACTTTTTTTTGGTGTGTGTATGTATGCTAGTACTATGGCTTAAATTTAGGAGCTAGTCACTGTCCCTTAACTTTTTCACTCTAAGCCGGCAATCTACTGCTTGAGTCACCACTCCACTTCCTTTGCCTACTTTTTATGTTGTTCATGCCTAAGCTGTTTAAATAGGTGAGGGTCATATTATTAATTCTATTCTGCAAAAAAAGGAGTAAATTAAGAGTCAAAGGTTAAATAATTCACCCGAAGTTCCACTATCTGAAATGGATAGAACTGAAATTTCACATTAATTCTTCTAATTCAAAGGTTACTTTTGCTCTCTCTGCCCTCCTACTTCATTAAGCTTGCAAAACTTTGATGGTCTTCAATGGACAAAACACTAGGAGAGCAGCTCTAAGATACATTTCTCTCTATTCAAACTGAAATTTAAGGTGTCAAGTCATTAGTCACAGTGAGCCGTTCTCCCAGCAGCTTTGTGATCCTGGGGCAGTTATTGAAGTTGACTCTGATGTTTTGGCTTCAAAATGAGGAAACTGTTAATACAATAGAACAATTTTTGAAAATTAAAAATTATCATTTACATACAACACTTGGCATAGTATCTGAATATAGTAAGTGCTTAACCAATGTTAGCTCGTGATATTATAGATCTTTACACAAATTTTTCATGCTTTATTAGGAAGGGTCCTGCCTTCCTTCCTGGAAAGGGAAAGCAAGGTCTCCTCTGTTTGGGATGGTTCAAAGAAATATGAGCAGACAAAAAGAGTATGAGCTTAGGTATGTACTGTCAGTGTTCTGGGAAAAGAAACCAGTATGAGATATTCATTTTGTAAGGAACCTCTCACAGAGGGTGGAAGCCTGTTTTCATAGAAGTAAAACCAGAAGCACTTTCATGTTTCTTTTTTCAGAATTATTCCACAAATATTACATTTATTTCTGAAATAACTGATTCCTTTATTCAAGATTGGGCAAAGCAGTTATTACTGATGCATTTCCCAGAATTCAGAGTAACCAAAACAGCTGAGAGGCTATGGTGAGATGAAGGTAGAAATTACCAATTTTACCCTGAAATCACTGACAGGAGGGAAGTTGGTGAACTCATCACTGCTTCATCTGGGAAAAGTTTTCTCCAAGAATCAAGATTCACAGTCTTATGCTCCGATCTTGAGTTTCTCATCATGACTTTGGGAGCATGGTGACTGACTGTCCTTCCGCACCTCACACTTTCCAATCACTCTCAGGAAGTAGGAAGCAGAAAAGTACACCACTTTTCCTCTCTGCCCACCCCTTCAAATGTTCTCTTCTACGACTTAAGGTCTTCTCCTCCCATCTACTTCTTCTGCCCCTCTCTTTGCTTCTGTCTCCTGTCTCCCATCAATAATAAAGATAAGTAAACATGTCTGACAATCACATGTGTGACATTACTAAGTTGTCTACAGTTATTATTTTGTTCAATCCTCACTTATAATACCCTATGAGATGGATACCATCAATATACTCATTTACAGTTAAAAATGTTGCTGCACAAAAAGTCAAGATTCATCTAGTCAAAAAGTAGGGGAATTAAAACCCCCAGTGTCTTTAGACTTAACAACTGAATTATGTTACCTCCACCTATCTTGATGTCAAAGGAGATCAAAATGCCATCCCCACTTTGAATGGTTATCAGATTTGGACTTCTGTCAGAGAAGAGTGAAAATTAATTGATTCCTACTTGTTGGATTATTTAGGTCTGTACCCATTCTGTAGAGAGGAGTGGGGATGATGGTTAGGCCCTTGCCAATAACGGAAGGTTAGGCAGGTCAGCAAAGCCAAATGTTTGAGCAAACAGCCATTTTTCAGATACTGCTTAAAGATCATTCACTTCAATGTGATTTGAGTTAACTTGAATTAGATTCTTCAAAATTAACAGAAGTCCAGTGCTCACTTGGTCTTGATGCCCCCATTGAGTCTAAAGCACATCATGAATGATTTCAGCCAAAACTTGAAAGCCCAAGAAGTAAGCAGCCCACCTGTATATCTGCCCATGGCTCACTAGACTCCAACCATCATTTGGTATAGGAAAGTCAGAGGCAGGATGAAGGCCTGTGGAAAAGAACTGACAAGAACCAATCTGTCCTGGACTGAAGTCCTTGCAAAGTGGGACTTTCAAGACAAAGAGAAGGCCTCAGTTCTAAGCAGAGATTTGAGCAGATATTCAGAAAGGGCTCAAAAGGAGAAGCTCAATTGTAGAAAAGGAAATATATATTTATAGATGGGGCAAATTAAGTTTCAGACTTATGCTTAAAACCAGTTTCCAAAGTTGGCTAGAACAGGGCTGGAAAGGTGGCTCAGTGGTAGAGCGCTTGCCTTGCATGCCTGAGGCCCTGGGTTCTATTCTTCAGCACCACATAAGAAAAAAGAAAAAAGCTGGAAGTGGCGCTGTGGCTCATGTGGTAGAGCGCTAACCTTGAGCTGAAGAGCTGAGGGACAGCGCCCAGGCCCAGAGTTCAGGCCCCATGACCAGACCCTCCTCCCCCAAAAAAAACAAAGTTGGCTAGAACAAGACTCCAGTGAGGGTGGAATAAAGGCTTACCTTGTACACCAGATCTTCTGTAGCTGCCCTGGCTATCAATATGGTAGACAACAAGGTATTTGGGCACCCTCACAATAGGGGCCCCATGGTCAGTGCCAGGCCATTTAGTAGTTCTGAATCAAATATTTCAGTCTTGGACCTTGAAGAAGAATGAATCTGAGAGTTTGGCACTAACTATACAAATTCATGTGGAACTAAAGGGTAAAAAAGAGATATGATAAATCCATTGGGAGGACTGAAATTGCAAGAGCTGTCCAGGCTTCCATATTTCCTTTGTTTCATTTAATGTGCATATTAGCAGAGGAAGCACTGAATGAACAACAGATGGAGATTTTTGAGATCTTTTATGGATAGCCTGTGCTTGGATTTTTGTCTTTGCAGAAACTGATTCAAATTATCTAAAATCTTAAGGAGGATGATAAAAAGTACAAAAAATACCCTGGTGGAAAAGTAGCATGCTTTCGTGTGGGGGACAGTAGGTTCCCTTTTTTTTAAGCTTGTGACCAAGAACTTCCCATCATTATAGAGAATGACTCCATATTTCTGCTGCCCAACTTTTTGCTTCCTCTTTCCCTCTCTTGCTTTTTTTTTGCCAGTTTTAACTATTTTGGGGTCCCATGTGATCAAGCTGTCTCTTATTACCCTCTTTTGGCCTGCAATATACAGGGAGCATCTCCCCTTATTGTTGACTCTGGAGACAGAGAATGGAGAAGAAAAGAGGCAGTTGAGTTGCTGCCAAAAAGGAGAGTAAGAAATGCTTATCTAAAGGATACCAAAGAATCAAAGAGTCCGTTAAGCAACAATACAATGTTGGCCAGTTCCTTTTTTTCACTAAAGACTTTGTCCAGTATCTCCCCAATACCCCAAACCTCTTTTTTCCTTCAAAGTTGGATATGGTGTTAATTTAGTTTCTGCAACAAGACTTACTTGCTTTATATAATAAACACATACAATGGTCAGGCTATGCCATGTGCTGTTTAAAGAAGTTACAAATGTAAATTTATTTAACCCTCATAACACTTCTGTGAGTCTAGTATCACTGCAATCTTCATTTTAAAGCTGAGGAAACTAACCTTCCTCAGGGCTGATGGCCAAGACCTAGACAAAACCAGGATTCCTGTGCGGATTCTTGAGTCCTTAATTACTAAACCATATTTCCTTACACA